TCAGTGGGACAGCGTTATCCACTAGACCGTTCGTTCATCCACGAAGATGCCCCGTTGAAATGACGGGTTTAAGTTCAACTCCAAGAGTTCGACCGGTTCAGAAAAATGTGACTGGGACGGGAGATTCGAACCCCTGACTTGTGGCGCACCGGGCCGACTCTCTACCGGCGCGGCTACGGCGCCACAGTGTGAGTGGCCGGGCGAGCTAGGCTAAAGGCACGAGTCACTGCAGTAGCTTGAGCGGGGGAAAAACCGGTTCCATCACGACACTCTCTCACCTGACCTCTGGAGTCCGGCCTCGTGGCTCTTTGGTATCGCTGCGAAGTTTGAATTGCGAGTCGTGGGTTCTAATACTCGACGCGCCATCAAATTATTCGTTTTTATGTTTGAATTATTCGCACTGTACGAGAGGCTCGACCAGTCGGCAACCCCCGCGCTGGGGTTCGAGTCCCACCTGGGACCAGGCTGGCCCGCCTTTTTTCTCTCTCTTTCCCACGCCGCATTATCGTCAGCCTGTGTTCTAGTCGGTGTGCGAAGAGTGCGGCCCCTTAGCCGAGAGCGTAAAGGTTTTGGGGCGGGGACTGTCGGGTCGGAGGTTCAAGCCTTGCCGCCGGCGCTTTTTTTTCCCGGTTCCAATGCTACCAGCAGATAAAACTTCCGTCCAACTCACTGCTCGACTCGACCAGTCGGCAACCCGTGCTGGGGTTCGTGTCCCACCTGGGACCCGGCCTGCTCGTTTTTATGCAAAAGAGGAAGAAATCGCTTGACCCAGCAACCGGCGGGACTCGAACCCCAGTGAGTTGGACGGAAGTTTTATCTGCTGGTAGCATTGGAACCGGGAAAAAAAAAGCGCCGGCGGCAAGGCTTGAACCTCCGACCCGACAGTCCCCGACCCAATACCTTTACGCTCTCGGCTAAGGGGCCGCACTCTTCGCATACCGACTAGAACACAGGCTGACGATAATGCGGCGTGGGAAAGAGAGAGAAAAAAGGCGGGCCAGCCTGGTCCCAGGTGAGACTCGAACCCCAGCGCGGGGGTTGCCGACTGGTCGAGCCTCTCGTACAGTGCGAATAATTCAAACATAAAATCGAATAATTTGACGGCGCGTCGAGTATTAGAACCCACGACTCGCAGTTCAAACTTCGCAGCGATATCAAAGAGCCACGAGGCCGGACTCGAGAGGTCAGGTGAGAGAGTGTCGTGATGGAACCGGTTTTTCCCCCGCTCAAGCTACTGCAGTGACTCGTGCCTTTAGCCTAGCTCGCCCGGCCACTCACACTGTGGCGCCGTAGCCGCGCCGGTAGAGAGTCGGCCCGGTGCGCCACAAGTCAGGGGTTCGAATCTCCCGTCCCAGTCACATTTTTCTGAACCGGTCGAACTCTTGGAGTTGAACTTAAACCCGTCATTTCAACGGGGCA